ATTGTAAATAGTTACTACTGTAAATATGTATATAAATTATTAGATCGTTCTTTATTATTTTTACTTCATGTTTATTTTCATTATTAACTGATGTAAATTAGAAAGTAACTTATAATTTCTCTAAATATTTTTTTTTTTTTTTTTTTACTATTTAATCAAACTATACTCTTGTTTATGTATCTCTTAGGCTCCTGAGCCCACATTTTTGTTTCTCTGTATTATTCTAAAGGGACTCTTCCCAGAATAAATAAAGCATTATTATTATTATTATTATAAGGAAATGGTGTCCTAAGGAATTGAGAAAGGAAATGAAGTTAGGTTCAGGTATTGCTATTTTAGGTGGAGAATATGCTGCGACAAATGTAAGAGGAAAAAGTGAAGTTTGGATAGTTATTGCTGATGTTTGTAGGAATTCGTGAACTGGTAAAGGATACATGTGATGGGAGAGGGACTGATGGATAATGACAGCATTGCCAGCATGTGCTGTTCTATCAGGTTGGTCAGTTCGATATATCTTGTAGCCAGGTATGTTGAACTGTCTTTTGTTAGTTAGTCGGGTCTCAGTTATTAGGCCTATGTCTATGTTATTGTCCTGTAGAAAAAAGGTTAGTTCGTTGATGTGATTTCGAAAACCATTCGCATTCCAAAGGAGAATGGAGAGGGGTTTTATTGAGGACATTTAAGGAATTCTTGGCGAAGAGATAAGATTGGCTATGACATTTGTAAGTAAGGAGATGAGCGGAGTGATGAGAGATCTGAATTCTGAGAGAAATGATGTAAGGAGACTGGTGAGGTCATTCGAATTGTTAGAGGGAGGAACGTAAGAGATTTGATGAGGACTGGACTTTTGGCTTTTATTATATTGGGGTGGTGGATCATGAGATTGTTGATGAGTTTGCGGCAGGGCCTGAGGTTGATTTGTCTTTTCAGTTTCTCCTAGCATTTCAGCAAAAGACACCTCTTTGTTCACACGTCTAAAGGGTTGCCTTGGTGGTCTGGGAGTCCTGGAGGTCTCTTCCTGTCTGAGGGTTGTCTGTGTTCTTGATTTCAGTATTTTATACGTTTGGCATCCCTTGTAGTTTGCTGGGTGGTTTTGGTGGCATAGTGCTCACACAGCAGGAGTTTGCCTGGACTTGGTGCAGTCCTCAGACCTGTGCTGTTGTCCACACTTCACACATCGAGGTAAGCGATGACAATAGCTTCTTGTATGGCCATAGGTTTGACAATTATGGCATTGTACTATCTCCCTCTTATTGTATGGTTTTTCAACCACTGTACTAGTATAGTACAAACGAATAATTCTGTAAATATTTTCGACCCCTGGAGTGCGCTCTAGATCCACGAAAAATAGTGGTAGTGCTATTTTGTTGTTTACTCCCGGTAGCTCTTTATTTTCTTTATAAACGTTGGTGTTTTGGCGGATATTGTAGCCTAAAGCCGTCAATTCTTCTTTGATTTCATCAGGTGGAGTTGAAGGGTGGAAACCTCTTATCACTACTCTCAGTGCTCTCTCTTCATATAACTGATATGTGTAATATTCAGCCTTTGATTCTGTTAAGTATTTCACAGTTTTTCTGTATATATCCGGAGAGTCCGGCATTAGTTTGGTGTCATTTGTTCTACTATAGCATACGTATTTACCGTTCTAAATTATTTTATTGAGATGCTGACAGAATAAAGGGAAATTTTTAATGTTTTGAACAAATATTGGAGGTGTTTTTGGCTCTCTAGGGGTTGGTGCTGTTTCTATTGTATCTTCAGAAGATAATATCTGGTATGGGTTTGTGGTGAAAAACGGAGTCTGTTATTTGTGTTGAAGAACCAGGTTGTGGATCATCAATGGTTTCAGTAAGTCTGTCAGGTGTTGATGGTGGTGTTTTCCTATTGGAACACCTTGGCCTTTGCTTAACAGGTGAGCTTTGAGAGCTGTTCTTGCCTAAACTTCTCGATATTTTACTTTTCGTAGACATTATCATGTGATAATATCTCATTTAAACAATCTGGCTGAAAAAGTAAAATAGCTCGATGTAAAAATAATTACGGTAAAGCGGCAAAAGACGTGACCCTCCTGCCACTACAAAAAGAATAACTACCTTACGATATCTAAGCGGCACTTCCTGGGGCTCAGACAGACTTACACTAATAAAATTGTATCAAGCTTTGGTATGTTCCGAATTAGACTACAGGTGCTTTATTTACGGTTCTGCCCGCTATTGGAACTCGATACAGTCCACCATACAGGCATTAGGATAGTGACTGGCGTGTTTCGAACAAGCCCCATCCTTAGTCTCTGTTCTGAGGCCGGGATGCCCCCTCTTTTATTTAGAAGAAAAAAACTCGCTGTTAACTACATTTCAAGGCTACTTCCCCAAAATAAACATTCCACTCATAACTACATTTTTAAACCTAAATTTTCAAACGCTTTTAGAAACAAAACATATTCCACACTCCCACTGTCAGAAAGAATTTATTCAGCAGCTCAATACCTTAAGAATTTACCTTTATACAATATCGAAAACTAAAACCCACCGTGGATCCACAAACCTCCAAAAATGATGCTCCGTCTCACTCGATTACTCAAAAACAATAACTCACCTTACGAGTACAAAACCGAATATTCCCTTCTACTACAAAATATTCCGGAACCATTTTTAATTTACACTGATGGTTCGAAATCAGATGATGCTACAGCTTCTTCGTTCGTTACCCAAAACTCCACACATAAAATGAAACTACATCAACTAAGCAGCATATACACAGCGGAACTTCTCGCAATAGCCTCAGCCCTCCACTTCTCTATGTCAATAACTCTATCCTCGATAGTCTTGATAACCGACTCCTTGAGTTCATTAAAGGGTTTAAATGATATGTACTCAAAACATCCAGTTATCCTTAAAATACACAAATATCTTCACACTCTGGAAAATTTAGGAAAATCGGTTTGCTTTATATGGATTTCCAGTCACATGGGTATAGTTGGTAATTAGCTTGCGGATACGGCAGCCAAACAGGCACTCGCGCTCCCAGACCGAGGTACTCCTATCCTGACCCCTCCAGAAATGAGTTTCCCTCTAAAAAAGGAATTATTGGATAGTTGGCAATCTATGTGGAACGAAAGCCCACCTAGTAAATTAAAAGTTATTAAAAAATCGGTGAAACCATGGAGCACATTAAAACCGCCCTAATCGTAGAGAGGAGGTCGCCGTGACCACGTTAAGAATAGGACACACAAACCTAACCCATATACATCTCATCACTAAGCAGCCACGACCAATTTGTCAGCACTGCAATAGCGTTCTCACTATCAATCATATTTTCCAAGAATGCATTTATTATACTTCAAGCCTAAGTCGATTATCTCTAAAACCGGATATATCAGCAGTATTAAGCAACAACGAATCAGACATAAAAACAGTGATACAATTTCTTAAAATACATAGGCTTTTAAATAAAATATAAAAATAAATATAATTTTTATTTTATTGTTCTGTCTTTTTTATATTTATTTTGATATATTTCATTTTTCATATGTTTTTAATTTATTACTCTATATATTAATAATTATTTATTCTCCTCTAAAGAGTTTACAAATATAACCTACTCAAAGGCGTTGATGACCCTAGGGTTTTACGCCTTTAAAGCCTAAATAAACAAACAAACCGTAGGAGTTCAGTTTAGTTTCTCTGGTACCCATTTGAAAAATTTAAAAACTGGGAATGATGCAGTTGTAAGCGTAATTTTGAAATATTATATAGAAGTGTGGCCCAAGTCGCTGTATGAGTCAGGAGACCTCAATCATTATTATAAAATGAGCAATGATATCACAGTTGAAAATGGATTAGTTTATCTTGAAGATAGGCTGATTGTGCCACTTGCTTATAGAAAGCGAATCCTGCACTTGCTTCATGAAACACACCTTGGGCTTCTATAAGACTAAGAATACGGTTGAAAGGTTTTCTAATGGCGTGGAGTTATGTCAGATCAAATGTTATAAATACATTTAAAGTATCCCAAAGATTTCAAAGGTCTAAAACCGAAGAGTCTTTGCTTCCGTATGAAATTCCTCCTATCCCTTTCAATAAGGTAGGAATGGATGTTCTTGAATTTTTTGTAACTATTATCTATTTGTTATAGATTACTATTTCAGATGGATTGAGTTGAGCCAATTGAAGGATAAATCTGCCACAACAATAATTAAATTCCTTGAATCTATATTGGCCTCTTTTAGAATCCCAAAGATTGTCATAGTTGATAATAATCCTTTCAGCACACTTAAATTTAGAAATTTTTCAGATGAATGGAATTTCAATATAACCTCTAGCCCCTATTGCCCAAAAAGTAATGGCCTCACTGAAAAGGCGGTTGGTGTGGTGAAATCCATGTTGAAAAAATGTTGTTATGAAAATGGTGATATAGAACTGTATTTATTAAATTATAGAAAGCCCCTAATTGCAGGACTCAAATACTCTCCATCCCAGCTCCTCCAAAGTAGAATCCACAGAACAAAATTACCAATAGGCGATGACCATGTTTTACCAAAAATTATTAGTGATTCTAAAGTATGTAACAAAGACAATCAAAGAGTTAACTATAATCAACCTTCTATAAGGCCTTATCGTCGCACAATCAAAAAGCTTTAGCGGCTTGATTTATAATTGTATTTTTATTGTATTCCAATTCTTTAAATTTGTACGTCATTGATTATTTTGCCTTATACTGGATTTTATATTATTTTATCAAAAAAAAAAAGAAGAATTAATTTAATTTAATTTGTATTGTAATATAGGTACAAGATATATAATATTTTAATGTTTGTATTGATTCTAAAAAAAAAAACTGTATTAATAAGGCTTAATGAGGGAGATGTTAAGGATGGCTACACTGAGATGTAACCTTACTAGTAGGTGTAACCTCATGTGATAATAAATATATACAAATAACAATAATATTATAACATCTATAAGAATAAAACAAAAATAGAAATAAATTATAAAACTTACAGTTGTTCTGTTCGTACATTAGCACTGTTGGTCCTAATGCGCTCAATTTTGTTGCTTTCCAAATCCCTAAAACATGATGAAAATACTGGTTAATTATTATTGAAGTAACTGTTTTTAATAAATTACTTGGAGTTCTGCGCATGTTCGAGATTTTATTAGACTACCGTTACCTCGTCTCTTAGACATATTCACTTTTTCTTAACAACAGTGTTATTTTTTATTAAAATTGTGTCTATGCGTAAGCTGAACACCTGAACCATAATATCCACAGTCTGTACAGTTGTGGCAAGTGAAGCCAGAGTATAGAAGAGGCCTGTTCTTTTAACTCGTAGCCATAAGTACCTGGCTTAGACTGGTCAGTTTGCCTGGAGCCTTCACTGGGAGTGGTCTTTAAGCGAAACTGATACAAAATCAAGGCCACGCAGCGTTTTATATATATATATATGTGTGTGTGTTTTTCTTTATAGTACTGAGTACAGTTAATTTTGGGGTTTGTGCATTTCAGGCAATGGTGGAAGAAAGTAATACACCTATAGCAACTAATCGGATTAGGAGTATATATTTGGATTTTAATGTTCTGATGACCAATTTTAAGATTTTTAGGTGGTAAACGTTACAGTATATGAATTTGTAAATTTTTCGTTATCATTTATTTTTATTTTTATTCTATGGATATCCATAATTTTTCCATTTAGCTTAAATTATTAAATGTTATATAATGTTTTAATTTCTAATTACTAAAAAGCCACATTTAAATAATAAAAAGTAGATATTGTTATTAATGATGAAATGCTGAAAGTAATTAATAAATTTTATCATTTCCTGATTTCGCAATAAATTATTAACTAACTAATTTCAATACCCACATTATATCCATAGGTCCTTTGGCTCCTAGCTTAACAAATCCAGAGAACTCAACCAACGAAGTATGAGTAATCCTTCTAAAAATTAAATAGAGTCCATGATTGGTTTTCATCTCGTGCTTTTGAAAATATTTTGTGATGAAATAATGAGGCTTACAAATGTTTAAGGTTGATCATCTCACTAAAGACTTCAGATTCAATTGCTTGGAGCGCATTTGAACTTGTAATTGTGCTGTTGAAAAAAAAAAAAAAAAATTAACATCAATGATTTCTAATTCAAATTATGTTATTTAGAAGTTCGTATTACTCACAGTTCTACTAAAGTACGTTTGAAATCACTCAATAATGCATTGTGAATCTTTACCGTATCAGCATTAGAAATCGACCTTTCACATATGTCCATAAAAACAAAAACAAAATTAACTTTACTTTGAAACTTCTATTCGAATTACATATATTTATTTTACAGTATACTATCACATTGTAAATTATAAATTCTGAACAAAAACATAAGTTATCGAATAAATTTCATTGACCTCACTTATCATTACGAAATTTGGTATTTATGAATTTAAGTTAATTCAAAAATGTCAAGAAAACAGTGTATAAAAAACATTTATCCCCATACTGACCTACGGCAGTGAATCCTGAACTATAACCTCCAAACATAAAATCAAGCAATATGTAAGCAATGGAAATGCGGTTTCTGGGGAGAATAGAGGGAAAAACTATGAGGGACAAAATCAGGAATGCAACGATAAGAAGCAATTTGGGAATGAAACAAGCAAAACATACAATAGAAGAAAACAGGCTACATTGGTTTGGCCATGTCAAAAGAATGCAGGAGGGAAGAATGGCCAAAACTATATATGAATTAAAAGTGAAAGGAAGAATGCCGAGAGTAAAGCCCAGAAAGACTTATGGGAAGCTTCAGTCAGGGAGGATTTCGGTAGGAGAGGAATGAACTGGAACAGACGCAGTCAGCTGGTACAAGAACGAGATAAATGCATCAGGCTCTACATACAGGATCCTTTACACTGATCTATGGTAGAAGAGGAATTGATTAAGAAGAAAAAGAAGTTTATTCCATTACTTATTTTGTTAGCTTATTCTTATTGGTTGTGCCAAAGAACGGTTTAGATTTCCCGCATTACGGCGAGTGGTGGGCGCAGATTTAAAAGATAAAATATAATACTTAAGCCTTGAGAGCGCCTGGTTGGCTCGACCCACTTCATTGGCCGTCACCGAGCAAGCACCACTCCAGCACTAGAAGTCACAGCCGAAAGCCCTCCAGGTAACCAAAGATAAAAGCTGGCATATAGACGGTAAGCTATTTTTTCCAGAATCATTATAACCTATCAATCCATTAAGATACATTCCAATGCTTAAAATTATAATGTTATCTTAAAATTTTGAATGTTGCCTTATTGAAACACGTGAGAGCTATTTGTCATAATTGCAAAAGTTGCCTAAACATTTGGTCCACCGGACACAATTAAATAGTTTTTTTTTCCATATTAGTGATGTTTTGCCTGTTAAGTTATATAAAGATCGTCTATTTCCGGGCTGATATTCCTCTTACGCCTATTAATTAGTTGTTATTTAAAATGTAACTTTCGTCGTTTATTCGTATTTCGCCTAATAACAAGTTTGTCAAAAATATACTTTAACTAATAGATCTAATGCTTTCGTTACGTATTAGGAGAAGTCAAGCAGTTTTCAGAACATCGTGGAAACAATATGTTTCTTCCATAAACTACCTTACCCCGACGAATGAGATATGGAACAAGATCAAGGCCATCAGAGTAATTAGGAAGCAAAACTTAATTTCAGGACTTAATATTGACGAACAGATCATAACGGATCCACAGGACATTGCTGAAGCCTTTGGAAAATATTTCAGAGAAATATCTTCCTCAAGCTGTAGCGATGACGCGATAAATGATCATGAAATGCATCAAAATTGCATTTCTGGGCAGAGCCACTCTGCTGAATACAATAGACCATTTCGACTAGATGAACTAAATTCTTCGCTTAATAAGTGCAAAGGAAAATCAGCTCCTGGTCTCGATGAAATTCCAGGAGAGTTCATAAAGCAGCTACCAGAAGCAGGGAAAATACATCTTTTAAATATATATAACGAAATTTGGACAAGCAGAACATTTCCAACTAAGTGGAGGAAATCTGTCATAGTACCGATACCAAAAAAAGAAAAGAGCACCGTTCCCAAGGACTATCGGCCCATTTCCCTTATCTCATGCGTTTCCAAAATTCAAGAAAGGATGGTCAATATAAGATTGACTAGTATGCTGGAATGTAAGAATGTCCTTTATCCATACCAATTTGGCTTTAGGCCAAATCGTTCAACTATTGATTCTCTTTTATCATTAAGCTTAGAAGCGCAGGAAGCTTTTTCACACGGAGAACACTTAATATCAATATTTCTGGACCTTGAAAAAGCTTATGACACAATGGAAAGAGGACGTGTGTTGAAGATTTTGGAAGAACTAGGAATAGGAGGAAATATGTGGTATTACATTAAAAATTTTCTAACCGGTAGGGAATTTTCAGTAAGGGTAGGAAATACTTTCTCGTCAAACCATCGCTTACAAAGGGGTACCCCACAAGGATCTCCTCTTAGTTCGACCCTATTCCTTCTTGCGATTAATAGTATAGGGTCCATTATCAAGACCCCGACCAAATGTTTTCTATTTGCCGATGATATTGTTATCACAGCCAAAAGCAAATCTATTCCCTATATACAGTGGAGGCTGCAAGAAGTGATGAATAGAGTAAAAGATTGGACAAGGGAAACTGGATTTAAGATATCATCTTCGAAGTCTAAATGTTTACACATTTGTAGAAGTCGAAAGTGTCAGCAGAATAATCCACAAATATTTATAGAAGGTTCCTCAATTGAATATACAGAAAGTCACAAGTATCTAGGAATGATAGTTGATAAGAGACTGAATTGGATACAACATATTACATATTTGAGGGAAGAATGCACAAAAAGACTCGGAATTCTTAAATGTCTCTCACACTCTAGCTGGGGTGCCGATAGATGCACTCTAATAAAAATATACCAGTCTATAATACGCAGCAAAATAGACTATGGAGCGCAGATATATAGTACAACCAACAAAACAATATTGAGGATGTTAGATTCTATACACAATTCAGCCCTAAGAATATGCACTGGAGCGTTTCGAACTTCTCCAATCGACAGCATCTACGTTGAATCTGGAGAAACATCCTTAAACTTGAGACGAGAATACCTATCTTTGAAATACATTGCCAAATTGAAAGCATCTTCCTACCACCCATTAACTCCATATTTATTTTCAGAAGAATCAGAACGAAACGGACTTAGAAATATAGAAAATAACATTTTTAAACAAGCAATTTACAATGCAACAACTAAAATAAACATGGATACGACCATTATAAGACCCATCCCAGAATTAAAAATGCCGCGTTGGAAAAAAGATAGACCATTTATTAATAAATCTATGACTAAAATTGCAAAGGCATATCCGCTTGAAATACAAAAATATTTTTTAAAGCTAACGGAACAATATAAAAATTTCGATTTTATATATACGGATGCATCCAAAGAAGGAGGTAGCGTAGGATGTGCTTTAGCGAGTAAAGAGAAACAATTACTGTTTAAATTACCTGGAGAATGTTCAGTATTCACAGGAGAGGCCACTGCCATCATGAATGCTTTATATCTTATAAGCGAAACTGAAAAGAACTACTGGGTAATTGTGACGGACTCATACAGCGTTTTAACTGCCATTGACAATCCATATCCTAAAAACTCCATAATTAGGGAAATACTCAATATCTGGTGGGATTTAAAAAATAAAGGAATAACAGTTGTATTGGTATGGGTACCAGCTCATTGCGGAATTTTAGGAAATGAAAATGCTGACAAGGCAGCCCATTTAGCAAGAAGTGGAGGAGAAGAAGAGGAAGTGACTAGAGTGAAATATATCACTTTAGAAGACTGGGTACACGAAATAAAGAAAAAACAACTGGCAGAGTGGGAAAAAGAGTGGAGGATCAAAGAGTGTAAGCTGAAAGAAGTGAAACCCAATTGCGATAAATGGCTCACTAGCAACAGAAAGTCTAGGCGTGAAGAAATTATACTATGCCGCCTAAGGATTGGGCACTGCCAGTTCACTCATGGCTATCTTTTAAGAGGTCTAGAAGCTCCTACTTGCGAGAAATGTAACAATACACCGCAAACTGTGAAACACCTTCTAGTAGAATGTTCCCAATTCGAAAGGCTCAGAGAAAAAATAGAACTAGGAAAAACACTAAAAGAAATACTAAAAGACAATGAAGAAAGAGTCTCGATAGTGTTAAATTTTTTAAAAATTGTAAAATACTATAACAGACTATAAATCATAGAAAACGCCAATGACCCTTTAGGGTAGAGGCGAGAAAAAGGAAAAAAAAAAAAAAAAAAAAAAATTAAATTTTGATTTGAATAAAATTGAGTTTCGCCTTCAGCAATGAAAATTTAATTTTAAATAAAATTGTGGTTTACCTTCAGCGATTGAAATTTGATTTGAATTTTATTTTTTTCTCTCTGCAACTTTGAAGATGGCACCGACTAAGGGTACCGAGGGACTTAAAGCTATAAATGATAGAAAGAAAAGGATGTTTCTTCGAATTCAAACCACATACCATATGGTTAAGGGACTCCCTGATAGAAAGGAAATTTTTATGGTCACGGCTTCAGAAATTAAAGCGCAACTAGAATAATCTGAAGCGGTATTGAACAAAATTTCCTTGCTAAATGAATTATTAGATGAAGAATGTAGAATAAAAGTAAACGCACCATCTCTAGCGGCGGAAGAAGTTTATTATGAAATAAAAGCTGCGCACGAGAAATTAATTAAAGCACAGCACATAGTTCCCTCTTCTCAGCCCATATCTGAAATAGTAGCGTACCCTAAATTGCCAGATTTGCAAATTACTCCATCCGCTCTTCACGAACAATTTCCCTCATTTAAATCATTGTCTGATGCCTTAATCCATCATCGAAATTCTACAGAAATAGTGAAGTTTTCATACCTCAAATCACTTTTAGTTCATTCTGCTTCACAGACCATTTCTTCAATCGAGTTTAATGTAGAAAATTACAGCTTGGCCTATGATAAATTTGTAAAGCGCTACAGTAATAAAAGGATCATTGCCGCCTACCATCTAAACAATATTATACGCTATAAATCCTTTTCAATTAATAATTCTACCAACTTCAGAAGCTTTCTGGATACATTTGAGGATAATTACAACGCCTTAGAAAATCTTAAACTCCACAAACTCGCTGATTTTATTTTGTTGCATCTTGGACTAAACGTTGTAGACCCGA